TTGGGGCTCGAATACGCGAAGTTGGGCTGACACAGGCATTCAATCCATGACACTTTCTAATCCTAAATGCTCACCCACTGCTTTGGGCAGGGTATGATGATTTTGGATTGAGCTACATATTCATAGAGGAACAGCCATAAAAAGCAAAATGTACTTACTTATACCAATTCAATAGTGGATTAGGGGATAAGGGAGCAAAAAGTGAGGCTTAGGGGTAAGAGAGGTAATTTTGAAGCTGAGGAGCTTCTGAATACAACGGTAGGCTAGTGTTTGAAGCTCAGAAGAGCACAGGTGTCTACCAAAAGGATTTAACAATTTAGACACTTTTGTTTCTAAAAGTATAAAGCCTTTATTTTATAGGAAAATTATTTTTAAGTTATCCACCTAAGTGCGAGGATATAGTTATGAATACTGTGTAAGATCAGAATTCTTATTTGTTCTATTGTGCAAACCAATTCGAGATTGGATAATTTATATTTTTTTCAGAATTGTTTTAAAGTATCAAGTCCCTCGCTGGTATATATCCCTTGCTTCATAGCTGACTTAATGTGTGTCTGGGTTGTATTTTCCCTTGGAAATTAATGGTGAGATTTACCTGACTTAGTACAGGCTGTCTGGGTGAGGGATCATGGTGCTAATTTTCTGAGTTAAATGCTACAATATTTCCTTTCTACATGGTGTCATTTTTCAGGTTTGGATTATCCAGAGTCTACCTCAGTCTGATAATATTAAATGGAAAATTCCAGAAATAAATAATTTATGGGTTTTATAATTGTGCCCTACTCTGAACAGTGTGATGGAATCTCACTCTTCCCGTGGTGCCAGTCATCCCTTTGTCCAGCGTCCTCACCCCGTCTTTGCTGCCCACCCCTTAGTCACTCAGCATCAGGTTGACTGTCAGGATATTGCAGGGGTTGTGTTCAAGTAGTCCTTGTGTTACCTCATAATGGCTCCAAAGCACGACAGTAATGATGCTGCCACTTTGTCATCATTGTTCTATTTTATTATTGCTGTCGTTATTCTCTTACTGTGCCTAGTTTATAAATTAAACTTTATCATAGGTATGTAGAAAATAAACCAGAGTATATATAGACTTCAGTACTATCACTAGTTCAGGCATGGTGGGAGGTCCTGGGTCACGTTCCTGAGGGGAAGGGGCCGCTGTATCACGGGGTTTTGGCTGAGTGGTATTAAGTATTGCTTGCCTCATCTTGTGCAGCACAGAGGTTATGAAAAATTGCTCACAAAGAGGTCATAAGATGAGAGAATTTTGCCCTTAAAAATTGCTGTTTTAATGTAAAAATACCATAGGATGTAAATGTATAGTTAATGAATTCCAAAGTTTCCATTTATTTTTCTTTTCCCTCAAAGCAAGTCTGTAAAGAAGCTCAAGACCGCATTCGCCCCTGAGTAGGGCCTGACCGTTTAGGCGGGAAGGGGGCGGCTTTCTTTCCCCATCCCTCCCGTTCCCCCGTAGGCAGCAACATCAGATTGCCCTGTCTGAGTCCCCGCCCTCTTGCCTTTACTTTTCCTTGCCATCCACGGAGGTGTGTCACTTGTCAGTCCGTCTGTTGGCTTGAATGGCCATGTTGAAGGTCAGCGTTCTCTGCAGGGCAGCTGGCAAGCCCCACACGTTCTTGTCACTTCCTCCCTGGGCAGCTGTCACAGGGGCGGCCTCCCTTCCAGCCATTCGCCTAGCTGGGAAGGTTTCACGCAGAAAGTGCACTAGCAGGGCAGCTGTTTTGGCATCTATCCCAAGGTGATAATTCACCCTTACCAGCAACAAAGTGGATGCCATATTTTTAATTCCATCCGATATTTCTTAATTGGTTTAGAATGAAGAGGTGACTTAGACACACCCTGTTTCTATTGATTTTAACGTTATGATAAAGTGGTAAACTCAGATAGTCGATAACAACTATCTGTGACCCAATGCACCTTGAAAGATAAATCTATAGGAGCCAGTAAGAAGGAACCTCAGCTCTCCGAGAGGCCCCTTTCTCCCTGGCCTGAGGAGCAGGTGCGCTGCACTGTAACCCTCTGCCTGCCGCCTGGTTGATTTGGGAAGTGTGGTCCTGTTTGCGGGCGACTGTTTTCCTCTATCATTTAGGTCATTTCAAGCAGTGTCCTGCCATTGGTGAGCTTTTAAATACTTGTGCTTACACACGCTCTGTTTCAACACTGTAAACATCTTAGAACTAACTTTTACCTTTTTTGTTGTTGCATGTATGTTTTGAACAGATACGCAAGGCACTGTTGATTAACTATGTGGAAATTAGTAAGTGTTTGACAGGAAATAATCCAGAAATTGTCAAACCAAATTTTTCTGCACCCTTCCCTCTTCTGAAAGTGTTTAATTATTTTTCCTTCTCAGTAATAGGATCGGAAATTTGCCAGTGAAAGCTCTTACTGCTGTAATTGTGTCTCCTACTTACCCAATCTCAGGTCTCACAATGACTTGTGAAGAGTTGCTTCATTTTAAATGAAATTACTAAAATATTACATTACTAAGACATTAACAACATCCCAGGGAGGAACCAAGGATTCTTTGAAGATCATTTTCAGACAAAAGGAAAACCTCTAGAGGGTGCCAGAAAGTCTTTCTTGGGTACGGGGATGATAACTTGGTAAACTGTCAGTTAAATTTCTAAAGATTTTATCATCTTTTCTTTTTTAAATGATAGCTTGTTCTGAATCTTGTAGTTCTAAAAGGAATGAAAGGTTAACAGAAAGGAGGGAATCCTTGAACCAAATGACCAGCTTAATCTGGTCTTACTAATTTATAGCACCCTGTCTACTCAACTTGTGGGCTGGAGAGTAAAGACTATTATTTGTCCATACATGTCAGAAATATTTGTTTGACATTGACAGATCTTAGTTAATTATTTCAAATTATTGTGGGATTATCTCTCTACTTGCATATTACATGTATTATTGATGATTTTGGCAAAAAGTAAATGCTGTTTCTAATGGTAAAATATTCCTCCCCCAAGAACACTTGGAATGTTCGAATGTGATGCTCTGGGTCCAGTTCCTGGGCAGCCAACATTTTCATGTTCATACTGGCCTGTAGGACCTGGCATCACACTGAGCTGTTTTGGACCTCAGCTTTCTTCCCTCTAAAGTGATGAGTTTGGCCGTCTCTAACATATAGCAGTTTAATGTCTAGATTTTACAAACATATATGTAATGCTCCTTATGTGCCACATGTTGTTGTAAACCCTGATAAATATTAATGTTAACTGCCTGAATACCCCAATAATCCTGTGAGTCAGGTACTGCTCTTATCTCTGTTTTGCACATGGGGAAACCGAGGCACCGAGCAGCAGAGACATTAAATAGCTCATCTGCCTTTCTGGGAAATCTTCTATAAACCAAGCCGTGTACGTATCAGAGGGGGCTGAGAGGAAAGCTGTCCTGTTCAGTTGGCACTGCTGTAACAAATTACCACAGACTGGGGCTTTGCATGGGGCAGAAATTGATTTCTCACAGTTCTGAAGGCTGGAAGTCTGAGGAGGGGGCCCTCTCTGGGCTGTAGTCAGCTGACTTCTGGTTATATTCTAGGGTAGAAAGAGCTAGCTAAGTCTCCTGCCTCTTTTTATAAGGGGATTAATCCCATTCGTGAGAGCTCCACCCTCATGCCTTCCTCTGAACCGGAAAGACCTGCCAAGACCCCCATGACTAGATCCCATTACATCAGGAATTGGCATTTTGGCATATGAATGGGAGGGCACAAACATTCATTCTGCTGAGTCTCCAGCAAAGGTTCATTTTCCACAAATGGATGTTACAGATTCGTATCTTGATCAGTAATTAGAACATTGGGCCATTGTTCCTGACTGTTTGCATCTGTGGAAGTTTCCCTCCAGGCTTTAACTTCCATGTTCCTGGCCCTTGTTGCCCAGCGCGTGCTGAGGCCGCATCTGCCTGGCTGACTTGAGGGAGGACGGGGAGGAGCCGCCTCTGCCCTTTGGGAGGTGTGCCGAGGACAGGTTTTCTTTCTTTGCCTTACCGGAGCCCACCTGGCACTTGATGCATTTTAGCACTTCCTCTTTACAGGGAATTGAGCCAAGGGAACCTCTGTTTATTTAAACCTCAACAAGTTCAAGGAATTTTGCAAAAGTGAGTTCTTTGTAAGCAAACCTGGGTCTCCCGTTCTTCTGACTGTAGGGCTCTGTGACACGGGCCAGCGCCATTTCCTTTTATCAGACTGGCCATCGACAAGGCTCAGCTTTCCAGGTTCTCCCCCTGGGCACTATTTTGACTGGCATTGTGGGCTGGATAACGGTTGGTGGCGGGAGGCTGTCCTTTGCATTGTAGGCTGTTGGTGGCATCCATCCCTAGCTTCTGCCCACGAGAGCCCACGGAACCCCATCCCCTGGTGTTACAACCATTAATGCCTCCTGGCGGGAGGAGAATAGCGTCTCCTGTGGTTGAGAATCACTGATGTAGGTTAGCAGAGGCTAAAATGGCCCCAGCCTCTTCAGGAGTCCTGTGTGTGCTGTCCCTTTGGGTCCCCTCTGTTGTGCCACTGTGCTGGCTGTGGTGGAGTGACACGTGACCTCTTTCCGTTCCAAGTCGCTCTGCGTGTGAGTGTTTGCCAGATGGTTTTCATGCTCCATCAAGGCTCCCTAATGCTCTCAAGGTGCAGGCAGTTTGAGATTTTCATCCTAACACCCATCCGCTGCTTTGTCAAGGGAGCAGAATGTTACCTGCTTTCTTATTTTCTTCTTACTTTGATTCTAATACTGCATTCTGGCACTGGAAAAGGAAACACACTTGTACGTGTGTTTTGGCCTAAATTCATTTGTCTCCTCACCTCTGGTGAACCTCTTGGGCAAAATGCTTTTGAAAAAGGCATATGTTTTAATTATGGTGAAATGTACATACCATAGAATTGACCACTTTAATTCTATGTTTACAATTCAGTGGCATTTCAACCTTCACAGTGTTGTACAACCATCACCACCGTTTCCAGAACTTTTTTTTTTCTTATAAGTAGCCTTGCAAATACAAGACCTCAAAAACTTGGGTAAAGACTCAGAATTGTTCCTCTCCGTGGAAATCTTTAGTAAAAGGCAGAAGATTTATGTGATCTGAAGAGGAACCAGAGTATCCCAGAACTTATTTCAAATCGCTTAGTACTCACTAAACAACAACTCCCTAGTCCCCTCCAGCCCTGCAAATGGCATCTACTGTTTCCCTGTGTGAATTTGGCTGACTAGATAAGGGGTCCTCAAACTTTTTAAACAGGGGGCCAGCTCACTGTCCCTCAGACCATTGAAGGACTGAACTGCGGGCCCCGGGATGAGTCGGCTGCTAAGCAGGACAGGCAGCGGGGTCAAAACACCCGGTGGGCCAGATAAATGTCCTAGGCGGGCTGCATATGGCCCACGGGCCATAGTTTGAGGACGCCTGGTCTATATCCTTCCTAAGTGGAATCACATGCTGTTTGTCCTCTTTGTCTGGCTGATTTGACTTAGGATAATACTGTCAAGGTTTGTCCCTATGTCCTGTTGTATCAAAACTTGGTTCATCTTTGTGACTGAATAATATTCCCTCCCCCAAATATGCCACCTTTTATCTATCCATCCGTCCCCCCGCGGACAGGCGAGTGCTTCCATCTTCCAGCTACTGCTGATTATGCTGCTGTGAACGGTGGTGGACAAATACCAGTTTGCGTCCCTGTTTTCAGTTCTTTGAGGTGTGTAACCAGGAGTGGGGTTGCGGCAGCATCGGCAATTCTGTGGTTGATTTTTTGAGACACTTCCAGACTGTTTTCCACATCACCTGCCCCGTTTTACACCCCCCCCAGTGATACATGAGACTTACTAGTTTCTCTGCCTTCTCACAAATGTGTGTTTTCTATTTTGTTCTCATAGCCGTCCTAATGGGCCTCAAGTAGTATTTCACTGTGGTTTTGATTGATTGCCCTAATGACTAATGATGTTGAGCATTTTTTTCCTTTGCTTTTAGTCATTTGTAAATTGTTGAGTATATTTTCTGTTGCCAACAACTGAATACCTGTAACTTGCTAATTTATAAAGGAAAAATAATTTATCTTGTACAATTATGGAAGTTGAGTCCAAAGTAGGGAGTTTTTATTTTTTCTTTTCTTTTCTTTTTTTTTTTTTTTTGAGACAGTTTTTCTCTGTTGCCCAGGCTAGAGTGCCATGGCATCAGCCTCACTCACAGCAACTTCAGACTCCTGGGTTCAAGTGCTCCTCCTGCCTCAGCCTCCTGAATAGCTGGAACTACAAGAGCCTAGCATGACACCTGTCTAGTTTTTCCCTTTTTAGTAGAAATGGGGTGTCACTCTTGCTCAGGCTGGTCTTGATCTTCTGAGCATAAGTGATCCTTCTGCCTCAGCCTCCTGAATAACCTGCCATGACACCTGGCTAGTTTTTCTATTTTGGGTAGTAATGAGGTCTCACTCTTGCCTCACACTGGTTTTGATTTTCTGAGCTTAAGTGATCCTCCTGCCTTGGACTCCTAGAGTGCTAGGATGACAGCACAAGCCACCATGCCTGGCCACTTTTCCTCTACTTATAAAACCACCAGTCACATTTTCATGTTAACGTGTTAATCTTTAATCCATAGGTGAATTAACCCATTTGTGAGGGTAGAGCCTTTGTGTCCTGACTGCCTATTAAATGCACTCCCTCTCCATTTTAATGCCACATTGAGGATTAAAATTTCAACAGGAGTTTTGGAGAAAACAAAAAATCAAGCCATAACAATGTTTCTTGAAGTATTATCTATTCAAGTCCTTTGTTCATTTGGATTTTCTTTTTATTGTTGTTGTAGATTGGATTCTTTGAAAGAACAGATGAATTCCATGATCTTGGTTCTAAATATCCAGTCATTTAATATCCAAGGCCATTAGTTTGAGCCATTGAGTGTAAGTCCTTTTCACCATCCTTTGAAGGTATAAAGATGCTCAAACTGGTGGCTTTGTACTGTCATCAACATTTCCCGTCAGATTGCCCTAAGATGGAAGTTTACACCACAGTCAGACGTCCCAGGATCACCTGAAGACTGTTCTGATACAGAAGGGCCGTAGCCCAGCCCCAGGTCTGATATGTGACCCGTGTGACGGTCAATACCATGGCAGGGATCGTGGCTGCTTCTGACACCAGGGACACCCACCTGCTGCACGAGTGGCCTGCTTGCCCTGGCTATGCAGGTGCTGTGACCTGTCAGAGGTCACATGTGATTATGAACAGTGGCACTAGCACTCTGCCTCAGGACTCTGTTAGTGCTGTCTCTGTTTCCCCAGCATGGTGTTCTTCATTAGTGAGATGGACTAAGGCCCAGGGTAGGGAACCAGCTCCAGGATGGCTGGGGAGAACAATCTGATGAGCCTCAGGTCGCGAAACAGGGAGGAATTTCAGTGCCCAGTACTGCTTGGATTCTGTTTCTGTTTTTGAAATATACTCTATAATTTAGAAATAGTACATTGATTTTATTAAATCACGATATAATTTCCCAGCTTACTAGGTATGTCAATTGCTCTGATCTGTCAAAGTTCTTGGCTGGGATCACAGCCTTGCCACTGATTTGCTGTGCGATTTGGGGTCTGTGTCTTTGACTAGTTGAGACCTGTGCAGGCCTTAGAGAGCATAGGTGCGATTAAACAAAGGAATTCTGAGTCTGTCTGTCTGTGACTAATGCCAAACCTGATTGGTCTTTTGCATTACTATTACCTCTAATACACAATAAGTTTAAAAGTGGTGATGATTCATCTCTTAAACAGTAGCCTCTGAGTTTTCTGCCAATGTGACTGTGAGTGAACATCTTATTAGTGACACGGGCCTGCCATCTTTGTGTGGAAGAGAGAGAGAAGTATGAAACTGCTGGTTAAAGTTCTGATTGGTTGATTATAATAATCTGAGATCTTCCTCTTTGCCTGTAATGTTTTCTGAAATTTTATATCCCTCCACCCCCGCCGCCAATAAAAAAAAAAAGAAAGAAAGAAAACCAAACCAGCAATTATTTCTTGACTCAAATAATTATTGGAAATTTTTTTCTGAAATCAGTCCAGAGTCTGAGCAAAGGGCAATTTTTCTGGCTAGAGTTAATGTGATATAAAATTAGCACCACAGCCTCTAGCAAATTCATGTTTTTCTGGAATAACTTGACTTGCTGAAACTGTTGCTGGCTTCACAGTATTTTGCATCGGCCAACCAGCTGGGTCTTTTAGGCGAGGTCATTATGCTTTGGCAGTCCAGAGAGTATTAAAATGTGAGCTTGGATCAGAATCATGTGGTGTTACATACTGAATTGTGATATTAAAATGAGTCCAGGCAGAGAGAATAGAATGCCATGCCACACCATGCATTTGTCACAATGATAGATGTGCTTGCAGATATCTAGAAAAATTGTTGCAGCTTATCTACTGCCGATGATAAGGTGTCAGGGAGGCAGTGACTGCAGTGAGTTCATGATGACTGGAATCGTGTATTGATCTGGGCCACACAGACTAGTGTGTAGTTATTGATCATTCTAAGAATTCCGAGAGAGACCTAACAGCACGTGATTTCTCTCTGTGTGTGCATTTTGCATGAGCACCAGCGTAGTTTGTTATTAGACCGACTCAGTGAAGAGAAACACGGTGGAAAAGCTTCTCTGTTTGCATATAGGGAAAAATGCAGTGGAGAATCTATGAATAACTTTTATTTAGCACTAAGGATGTGCCAGGCGCTGTGCTGCACATTTGATATATACAATCCCCTTAAACTTTGGAGAAGTTAATCCTCTAAAATGGATTTCTTTTAAAATTTCCACATCATAAGTGTCATGAAATGTCTTGATTTTCACTGATGTTTAACCTGGCTCCATACCTTCATTTATACGGCCACTGAAATTTTAGCATCCTGCATTGTAGGGTTTATGTTAATTCCTGGTAGTTCACTTGCCCTGACCTCCCTTTTGCCAGGCCCTGTCCCTTCATGTGCTGCACTAACTATACCTGATTGTATCAGTTTGCAATTGCTTCTGTAACAAATCACTGTAAAGTCAATGGCTTAAAACATGGCAAGTTTATTCTCTTAATGTTCTTCATATTTGAAGATTGACGTGGGTTTTACTTGGCTAGAATCAAGGTGTGTCAGCAAGGCTGTGTTGCTCTCTGAAGGCTCCAGGGGATAATCTGCTTCCTGGCTCCTCTGTCTCCTTAAGGCATCTGCATCCCTTGGCTGGTGGCCCCTTCCTTCATCTTCAGAGACAGCCACAGTAGATTGAGTCCTTCACTCATCACACTCATTTGACCTCCCCTTCTTCTTCCTTTGCTCAATTCTCAGCACTTTGTGATGACATTGAGCCCACCTGAATAATATCTGGTGTAATCTCATGATTTTTTGTTCAGTTGATTAGCAATCTTAGTTCTATCTAGAACCTCAGTTACATAAAATAACACATTCACAGGTTCCATGGGTGTTTAGGTGCTGTAGTTCTGCTTCCCTTACTAATTCAACCTGGAAGTGGAAATCCAACTCCTTTGTTGATCTCTGGTAATAAAGCCATTTATCTCAAGTATATCAACAGTTTACCTAGTTTATTGGAGCCTGGAGAGATGATTATTCTCTCTCACTCATTCTTTTGGCTTTTCCCTTTCTCCCTGGAGTGACTGATGGATTCTCCACCTTTCTCAAGCCTCGTAGTTCTTCCCTTCTCCAGGCCCTTTGAAATGTCTTCCTCTCACTGACCAATGGGCTACAAAAAACAAACACAACAATAACAATAAAAGAAAATTCAGAACAATGTAGTATTTGTGCTGATCCTGAAAGGAACTTCCATGAGTAGGATTGTGAATATGCTTTTCTGCATCTTGTATTTGTCCATTTCACAGATTAAAAAGCAGCAACAAGAAGAACTGAAAATAGATAGGTTGGTGATTAATCATAAAACAGTGGTCTCAACTAGGGAGATTTCATCACCTGAGGGACACTCGGAACTGACAGGAAGCATTTTGCATATCACAGATGGCAGAGGCGGGTGCCAGGGCTGCTGGCATCAGGGCTGTGACGCCCTGGGATGCTGCGAGTATCTTACAATGCACAGGAGAACCCCCCTCCTCCACACACACAGCAGTTATCAGATCTGTAAGGTTGATAA